TGTGGTCCTGCTTTGAGCAGGGGGTTGGACTAGATGACCTCTTGAGGTCCCTTCTAACTCTGATATTCTATGATTCTATGACTTACCTACCGGATACAAAATAAAAGGACCTCAACAAAGATATATTTTTTAAATGGCTGCCTAAAGTTAGACTCCTGTGATCATATTTAGGATTCTAAATAAGCAGCCAGATTTTCAGAAGTGCTTAACATCCAACATCTCCCTCTGACATCTATAGGATCTTTTGAGTACTCAGCACTTTTGAAAAACCAGTTCACTTTAGAATGATGCATAACTTAACAATCTTGGCCCAAATGTGGAAAAAACATATGCCAAAGACCATTAGACAGACTTCTGAAGCAGCTCTGCCAGCTTTTGTGGTACTTAGTCCATGCTGGCTCTATGGCACAATTGTTTTAGGCACGCACTTCATTGCAGGATTAATAGGTTTCTGAGGCACACAATATAGGGTGAGTCTACCATGCCAATATAATTTATGAATGGTTTATGAGCTTGGAAGGTGTGGGTTTCTAGAGCTCACAACTTTGGGAAGCAGTTTTCTGCAGCTCCTCTATAAATTAGTTCTTAGCAATTGTGAAGGCATTTTGAGACAGATTAGGAACATGTAAACCACTGCTTTTATTTATTTCAGAGAGTCCACTTTAATGTTTTCCTCACTAGTAAATTAAATATTGTGAACTAAATAGTGTAAACTAAAACTTCTTATAATTAAATTTAAAAAGTTCTGAATTGACTTACTTTGCATGTTAAAAATTCTGTAAATTGACTGAAAAAAACAAATTAAATTGCTATTAGACTGCATTAATGTTTCAATGTAAATAAAAAGAAATTTTTGTATAGTATTCAAATTTGTCCGCTGGGTGGCAGTCATGTTTCACTGAGCCATACATACATACAAACATACACACACAAAATTAAGCATCGAAAATGTTATGCCTGTTACATGTCTGGAAACAAAAAAACAGCAGTTAAAAGGAACAGTAAAACCATCCCACTGGGCTTCTGCACATAAATCACTTAGCTTGCTCCCAGTTTTAATATCTTCACATTGGCTTCTGGTTTGCGCTAGTATGGATTTTAACGTGCTGCTCGCACTTAACACTCTGCAGGAGGTCTATAGCTCTGTAGGACTTTGCATCGTTTCACCGGACATACAAAGATTTAGCCAAGTTTCTTAATACTAATTCATAGCAATACTTTAACAGCTTCTTCAGAGTGGTTATGGTGGAATCCAATTTTGGTATCTCTAAAGCTGAATGCATAATAAAAAAAGTTATGAAGACCAATTATTTTACATATAAAGGAGAAATTTTTAGACATTAGTTCTTTAATATTTTCCTTAAAGTGAAATAGTCAAAAGAAATGTTGGTCCAATAGCCAGCAATATTCCTTTCTAAATACAAGTTTTAAGTTTAGAGCAATACAAAGAAAGTATAATAAAACCAGTATGATTTTCCCACCAAATTCTCATTGAGTCATCTTAGCAGATTCATTTCACCGTTTATTTTAACAACTATTTCCAAAGAAGAGTATGTAGACCAAGTTTCAACCCAATGTACATTTGATAACTAAGTTGTAAACTACACAAAAAAATGGGGGCTTATAATGGAAATGCTGACAGATGTAGAACTACTGCAGTTAGCTATGACATTCTGACCACACAGCCTCCTCCAGAAAAAAGCAAAATTACTTTCTTTTTTAGTGTGTTCTTTAGGAAGCCTAAGAGTAAAAAAGTTTGTTGCTATATTTGTTTTCTATTTTTGTTGTGAATTTAAGATAACATTTTTGTTCCATTTACAACCCACATTTTTTTTTTGTTTTTTTAACAAACAATAACGGCCTCTGTATTTAATGATTCATTTCAGACTTTTCATTGGACTTCCTCCTCCTCCCCTGGATGACTATAGCAAAAGCTGTCAGTTGTGATTACCCCCCTTACCCAGACACTTGGATTGTGTAGAAAGAAAGAAAACCCATAACCTGGGAGTGGGGGGGACCAGGCTCTAAATAGTATGGGGGCCACAAGGAGGGGAGTGTTAAGACATTTAAACTTACTCTGATCTACTTCTCCAATATACAAATAAAGATGATGATCTGCGCCATGTTTAAGATGATTCCCAGCCAACTCAATGCCTAAGAGTCATAGTTATTAAGTGATAAACATCATCAGGTCCAGATGCAGAAACAGCCAATCTGGGGCTGACATGTAGATGTATTTAGAAAGAGGCAGCAACAGCCTGCTGTTGCTGCAGTGAGTACAAACACACACACACTGTCTGGCAAACACATGGCGCAAGCACACCTTCTATTTCTCTGAGCCCAGCCTGGAGCCCTTCATTACAGGACAAGACCAAATAGTGCTGAGTGCACAGGTGCGAGTGTATGTAACTCTACAGCGCTGCACACACTACACAGGCGAAGCAGCCACCTGAAACTCCCCCAGTCCCTCTAACACCAATGCCAGTCCAGAAAGCCAACCTGAACCAGGACAGCTGCCATGGGCGGTTAGGGAAAGGAGTCCTTGTGAAGGGCGACATGGTGGGAGAGGATCTCGTAGGGGGGGGGAGAGAGCACCCCAGGGGAGGCGACAGAGGGTCAGGTGAGGGGAGAGAGAGTGGAGAGCACCCTGGAGGGGCACAGAGGGTCAGGTGAGGGGGGGTGGGAAAGAGTGCGGGGGGGGGCACAGAGGGTTGGGGGAGGGGAGAGCCTGGGGGGGCAGAGAGGAAAGAGGATGGGGGGAAGAGCACCCCAGGGGGGCACAGAGGATCAGGTGACGGGGTGGAGAGCACACTGGGAGGGCACAGAGGATCGGGGGAGGGGCACAGAGAATCGGGGAGGGAGAGCCTCAAGGGGGAGAGCACCCCAGGGTGGACACAGAGGATCAGGTGAGGGGAGGGCAGAGCCCCAGGGGGGCACAGAGGGTCTGGTGAGCAGGGGCGTGGGGGAGCCGAGGGGTTTGGGTCTGGTGATGGGGGGAGCTTAGGTTCTGAGGAAGGAAAGTGTGTGTGTGGGGGGGGTCTGGTGAAGAGGGGGAGCCTGAGGGTAGGATCTGGTGAGGGGAAGCCCAGGGGAGGACCACTGTGAGGGAGGTTTGCTGAGTGGGAGCGTGGCGGGGGCCAGGGGAACGAGGGAGCCGGTGAGAGGGGAAGCGGGGGGGATTTCTGGTGAGGGATGTGGGGGAGCACACAGCGGGGTCTGGTGAAAGGCAGCACGGGGGAGCCGGGGGTCAGGGGCAGCCGGGTGAAGAGGAGAGCTGGGGCGGCCGGGTTGAGGGGGCCGATGAGAGGGCACCGGGGGGAGAGACGAGCAGGAACAGTTACCGAACTCACGAGGCTCAAACTCCACGGAAAGTTGGCGCAGCCGCGTGGGTCGCTGCGCCGCGCCCCGGCCGGGCTGCGGGCGCCTCACGTACAGCCGGGACTAGCCGGAGCCAGGCGCTCCCGTCCATGTCCCTGGTGTCATTCGCCCCGCCCTACCCCCGCGCCGCGGGCCGAGCCCCGGGGGGGTTCCCAGCCCCGCAGCGGGACTCCCCGCGCCACGGGGCGAGCGCAGCTCCCGGCCCCACCGCCCGGCGAGCCCCTGGGGGCCACCGCCCTCCCCCCCGGCGCTGAAGTTCCGACGAGGCTGTCCCGCGCCTCCCGCCTCCCCCCAGGTGCGCAGCGAGTGTTGGCACGAGGGGAAGGGGCGTTAGGAGCCACCTGTAGCGCGTGCGAGTCACTCACCGAGTCGCCATGGCTCCCTTGCTCAGCGGCTCCCCGCGGAGCGCTGATGACTGACTCTCGCGGGGGGGGCGGGGAGCGCGGCTTGAGCCTTCTCGGCGCCCGTAGCTCCAGACCCTGTGACGGGCCAGACTGTGCCTCCGCTGAGTGTAGCAGCTCGGGGCGTTCGAAAGGGCCCGGCGCGCGGGGCTGGGAGCGGCGGCGGCGGCGGCACCCGGAGCAGAGCGGCGGCGATGTGAGTGTCTGTGAGGGGCCATCCCAACCCCCTGCCCCTGTGTGTGCGTGCGGGGGAGCAGGGAGCCTCTCCCCCGCCGTGTGCAGTGAGTGGAACGGATCCTCCTCCCCATGCACACCCCGCAGCCAGCTCCCCCCCAGTGCAGGGCAGGGGGCTGCCAGCCCCAGCATACACTCTGCTGCGGGTTTCCCGGCAGTGCACTTGCCCCGCTGGGAACCTTCCCCCCCCCTTCCACAGTGCACCCCTCTCCCTAGCCCGGGGCAGCAGAGGACCCTGTCTGCTTAAAACCATCTATGCCTCAAAATAAATCCCTCATCTGTGCCACTAATAACACCCAAGGTGATTAACAGCGAGGATTTGACAAACCTGATTCACGTCTCCCACACTTGGTGCTGTTTATTTTGTTTCTGTGACTCTTGTCTTAGACTGTGGAAAGCAACCTGGGCAGCTTCACTTTTTGTTTCTTGTGAACTTCACTTTCTTGTGCTGCAATCCTTGGGTGGTAAACACTGCAGAGGAGCGTTTACATTTCATTCCCTAAAACAGGACTCCTTGAGTGCCTGTGGCTCTAGATACAGTTGGTGTCGAAGAAATCAGTATAGATACATAGATTTAATACTCTTTTACAGGATTGGAAACAGCAATATTTAATTTTAGCTGTTACATTTTTTTCTTACAATATTTAAGTTTTGGCTTTAATCGACTTAATAATGAGTTAAATAGTCAATGTGAGTCAGGTGAATAATATTTGTTCTAGTGTCCCTTTAATCTCCTTCCTTTATGTTTCTGCAATTTGCATTATTTGCTAAATATACTTAAATACTGTGCTATTTACTTCACTTAGCAATAATAGTGCTTTTGTATGGTTTCCACCACCTGTTAGGATTTCACAAATTAATTGTTCATGCAACCTGAAACAGACCAGTACTTGGTTTAGAGTTTTTTCCCTTCCCTTTATTCCCTTTTATTTGTATGATGAGGTTGCCACAGTTCAGAGCAACTGTACCTGTAGTCCTGCTCCATGGTCCAACAAGCAAAGCCATACTTGGCTTCCAGCTCCTCTGTCATCCCCTCACTCAGGCAGAAACCTGCATCTCTCTCTCCCTTGAAATTGGAGTTTTTGCAGGCTGCATGGTTCCCTGCTAATACTGTGTTATTCCCAGCAAACCTGAATGGCTAAACAAGCACAGATTCTGTCCTTTCTCTCTTTCCCCCACCCCCCTGAGGCTATTAAAAGTTTAATTGCCTAGTTATAAGTTACCACACATCTCATTCTAAGCAAGCTCATTTATTCTTAAAGCGATAGCATTACAGAGAAAACATAAACAATAAAAGAACCTACATGCATGCTAATAAGCTTACCAAAATCACTCTACCCCAGCTACACAAGTGCTCAGGTAGGAGTCAGTCCTTCGCACGCACAGACTGGGTAAATCAGCCTATGTCTTTATACAGTTTGGGCCTTTCATCGCCAGTCTTGATGAATGGGTAATCAGGATACAGTGATTTTTTCCTCAGGGCATAGCTTCAAAAGGTTAGGTTCACATGCAGTTCAGCCAATCCACATAGTTCAGTCCTTTGATCACACAGGCCCACAATAATACATAATCTTTGCATTTAATATAATGGACTCCAAAGATACTTAAACTTAATTCAATAGCGTATTGCAGGAAATGAGTATTAGATGGGTGTAGGTTGTAACCTGGGCCCTGTCCACATTAGTATCAACCATGCTAGCTACAACTGTACTTAAGGGCATGTCTATACTTGCGACTAAATTGGCACTGCTGCAGTCGATGCAGTGGTGTCGATTTAGCTGGTCTGGTGAAGACCTGCTAAGTTGATGTCAGAGCACTCTCCCATCGAATTTGTACTCCAGCTCCCCGAGAAGCATAAGGTAAATATGCAGGAGAGCATTTCCCGTTGACACAGCACACTGTAGACACCGCTGTAAGTCGACCTAAGTTATGTTAAAAGCAACAAAGAGGGTATTCACCCATGAAAGCTTATGCTCCAATACGTCTGTTAGTCTATAAGGTGCCACAAGACTCTTTGTTGCTTTTTACAGAGCCAGACTAACACGGCTACCCCTCTGATACTTGACACCATCTAAGTTATGTTGACTTCCATTACATAACTCAACGTAACTGAAATAGCATAATTTAGGTCGACTTTACAGCTTTAGTGTAGACCAGCCCTAACTGTAATTATTGCTAGCATTGTTATTGCACAGTTCCCCACCGTTGTGCACTGTTTTTGTTTTTTGTTTGTTTGAGAAGCAGGCTAGATCCTGTAGCTCAGTCTACACAGTGGAATCCCTGTGCCGCCACAGAGACTTAGTGAGTTCAGTGGAGCTCCATGTGTGTGCAAGGATATGACCGCACTGATCCAGTTGTGAATTTCAGCTTATGTACTGCTATAGATGTTATATTGCTTTACATAATAGAAAAACTGACTTTTAAAATAATTTACGATCCAAGGCTCTAATCCACACAGATAGACCCTGCACCAGCCCAGACCCATTGTATGGGCACAAACATCCTCCTATGGAAATTGTCTTGCAGGATAGGAGCCCGTGTTATTTTATTTCTTTGGAATTATACAGTAATAAAAAGGGGAGGAGGGGAATGTTGAATGGAAACAAATTATAGTTAAGAAATGAAATTAAATATCATCTTATCCACTGAAGCCCGCAGCAAAACACAAAACTCCCCTTTCCTATGCAGTTATAACCCTCATCAAATCCCACCCTCTGCCACAGCCCACATAAATTGATGCATCTTGCAGCATGCCTGAAGGCCAACAGATCCAGGGTCATTTTGGACAGGGTTGGGAATGGGAGAGCTTGTTCCTGATCTGTTGTTTACGGAAAAGGCTCTACCATCAGCCCCCTCTCTTTTAAATCAAGAGGTATCCAGTTGCAGCACTGTCTACAGGTTTTTGATAACAGTGATACAATATTCATGTCTTTTCCCAGGAAAAAGGCTGGGTAATCTTTAGTCAAATAGCACTGTGAATTTAGAATTATTTCTGTTAAAGAAATTAGGCAAGTTGGGATAAATATCTCATAAAGCTCGATTGGTGCCTCCTAGTTTTAGCATCCTGAGCAGGTAAACCTGTATTGTCACCTCAGCTGAAAATTCAGGATACACATTGAAATGAGAGAGAGATTTCAAGGTGAGACTAGTACACAATAAGTGAAATCCTGACCCCCTGGAAGTCAATGTAAATGTTCCCATTGACACAGGGCTTGATTTTTGCCCCATGTCCTTGCCTGCAGGTCCCAAGACTATGCTTCCTCTGCCATTTTGAGGAGCAGCTATTGAGTGAAGATGCTGTGAAAGCCTTCCCTGGGGTGGGCAGTTGTGACCTTTGACCTGGACCCCTGCTCACAGTACCAGGAGAACTTGTTCCCTCCTGGCTTCTAGAGGTCTGTTCAACCCTAATTTTAAAGCCCAATCCAATCCTGAGTAGATCACAGCCAGTCCAAATCTGAGCCCATCAAGTTGTTTTTATACCTGACCCAACCCGAACCTTGTAGTTGGGTGGTCCCATCGGGTCTTGGCTGGATTGCAAACCTCTACTTCACTTGCTGCCCTCACTGTAGCCCATGGCTCCCTACACCCACTGTGCCAAACTCTAGGTCTGGAGCCCTGCGCCCCCTGCCCTGTCTCCAGTCCTACATTTGCTGTATCCTGTGAGAGGCTCCATCAATGCCACTGCTGGGCACAGACATGTCACACTCCACCAGGGCTCTTTCCTGCAGGACTGGGATGGCCTGTCCTAGATGTGTCCCTCCAGGGAGATTGGCCATCAGGCAGCAGCTCTGGGTAGCCCAGCACTCTGCCCACGGGGCTTCCTGTGGGCAGGCAGTGGGGAGGGATCAAGCCCACATGCCCAGTCAGCTAGGTCTGCATCATGCTGTGCCTGCCATGCCGCAGTGTGGATGTGGGCGTTCGACTCTTACCTGCAGGGCAGGTCAGTGGGGGTTACCTGCATGCTTTAAGCTTTCTGTATATGCTGGCGCTGCCGCAGCTTCCTTTTCAGGAAGACAAAGGCCCCTTCTCAGCATAGCCAGCCCGCTGTCCCACTGCTGACTCCTCCAGCCTGTTGCCGCCACCTCCACTGGGCTCTGAGGACAGAGAGCCAGATCCTTCCCTTGCTCCCTCCATCCTGGTACCGACCTAGCCCCCTGGTAGTCCACATCCACCCTGACCTGAGCTCAAGAGTATCAAGTTCTTTTTATACCCAATCCAACCTGAAGCAGATACTTACAAGTCTCTACTGCAGAGATTGGCAACCTTTGGCACGCAACCTATCAGGGAAATCTGCTGGCGGGCCGGGACACTTAGTTTATCTGCAGCTTCCGCAGGTTCGGCCGATCGCAGCTCCCACTGGCTGAGGTTCGCCATTCCAGGCCAGTGGCTGCGGGAAGCAGCGTGAACTGAGGGATTTGCTAGCTGCCGCTTCCCACAGCCCCATTGGCCTGGAACGGCGAACCACGGCCAGGTGGGAGCTACAATCTGCCGAACCTGCGGTTGCTGCAGGTAAACAAACCGGCCCACCAGCAGATTTCCCTGATGGGCCATATGCCAAAGGTTGCCAATCCCTGCTCTACAGGCTTCCTCTCCCACACCCTCCCAATCCTGCAAACACTTAGGACTCGTCTATGCAGAGAAATTGACCAGAATAGCTATATATATAGGAATAACTATATAGCTAATAGTTTATTCTGCAATAGCTCCCAATGTGACTGCTCTATTCCATAGATTCATAGAGTCATAGATTCATAGATTCTAGGACTGGAAAGGACCTCGAGAGGTCATTGAGTCCAGTCCCCTGCCCGCATGGCAGGACCAAATACTGTCTAGACAATCCCTTACAGACATTTATCTAACCTACTCTTAAATATCTCCAGAGATGGAGATTCCACAACCACAATTTATTCCAGTGTTTAACCACCCTGACAGTTAGGAACTTTTTCCTAATGTCCAACCTAGACCTCCCTTGCTGCAGTTTAAACCCATTGCTTCTGGTTCTATCCTTAGAGGCTAAGGTGAACAAGTTTTCTCCCTCCTCCTTATGACACCCTTCCAGAATAAAAGTGATTTCATTGCACAGTAATTACTTCACTTTGGAAGCACACTGATTATGCAATTAAAATGACTTTTTTTCTGGAATAGAGTATCCACATGGGGAGCTATTCCAGAATAACTGTTCAGTTCAATGGAACTACTCACATGCTTAAAGATAAATACATGCATACATCTTTGAAGAATTGGAGCCTTAGATTGTACAGGCATTTGGGGCAAGAAACTTGTCTTTAAACAGGATTTCAAAGCAGTAATTTGACACTCTATAAATAATTATATCCCCCACAAAATGATAAAAGAACATTCAGATTGCAAAGTCAAGTGTTGAAAAGTTAGGAAATGCTGGAATAAAGATTGTTTGTGCAACTTTAACTCGCCATTTTATGTGTGCATTATGATACAGCTTTTAATTACATGATCACAAGCTATCTTATCTACAGTCCAACCACCAAAGACCCTGAGAACAGTGCCTCACCTTCCTTGCCTCTACCCGGTCACTTACACAGAGTTCCATCTTAGCTGGGGTCACTCGGGCTTCTAGTTCCACCTCTTCGGAGGCAACGTGACAGGAAAGTAAGGAACACAGGCTTAGCAAAGGAATTTCTTAACCACAGCCACTTTAATCTTAAAAGACACAGAGAGTTACAGATCTCTGCAAAATAACAAAAGTTCTGAGACAAACCCTCCACTGGTTTGGTCTCACTCTTATCCCTTCTGTGAGTTTGAGGTTTCTCAGTGTTTCAGGCTGGGGGAAGGGGCAAAGCAGCTGCCACTCCCCTGGGGCTGCCAGCAGTGATTGGGTCCTGGCTGTCTGGAGACAGAAAAGCTGGAGGAGCAGACAGCTGGTGTGTGTTCCCCACCTTCCCAGGTGAGGTGGGGTTGGGCTTCAGCCCTGGGGTGGTGGGTGCAGGCTCCACCCATGGGGCTTTGGGCTCCATCCCCATCCCCTGGGCAAAAGGCTTTGGGCTCCATTCCCTGGCTGTGCGGTGACGGGCTCTGGCCCCGAGCTCACCCTCCCCAATTACCCCTGGCCCGTGCTGCCTCCCCCAGTGCCCCATCGCCCTGGTGCCTCTGTAACCACTTCCCCATACAGGGCTTAATTTGTCCCTTGGGCTTGCTGGGACTAAGTAAGTGTGCTGTGAAAAGTGATATTTGTATGTTTGTTCTTATCAGTTTCCACAGCAGACTACTTAGTCTTAAAAAAAGAAAAGCAACTCCCCTCCCCCACAAAAAAGGCAAAAGAAACAATAAGAAAAAAGACAAGAACATGAGAATGTGCAAAGCACCTTATTTGTGTTTTTATTCTGTTTAGATCCAGTAAGGAATAGAGACAACTGTATGTTATTTTTATTATTGAGTCTGCAAAAAACCCTACATAAATAAATTACAATGCTTTGGACATGGATATGTGCATATTTATTTGATTTTCCTGAAGTTAATTAAGTATTTTAGGAAAAATTGTCAGAGCAACCACCAGTAAGAGTTGGTGGCCACACTCTGAGGCCACCAACATTTTTTTTTGGTGAGAACCCCTGGTTTAAAGGATTTGGGACCTGGAAAACTCAGTGTGTTATCAGCCGTTTAGCAATGCGTACTTTCGTTAGGCAGTGAGAAAGCTAAGTCTGCACATGTTTGTCATGCTAGTCCATCTGTTATATCAAAAAACTGTTGGAGCTTATGCCAGAACAGATGCCTGATTTACATCTTTCTCTTACCGTATTGACCATTTCTGTTTCAAGTATTATTTTAACATAATATATCCAATTATCTTTGATATATGATAATTTTTTAATGTAGCATGTTTTAAAAAGAGAATAAACTTGCCTTCATGTAAACAACTTAACACTTGGTAAATGTGCACAGTGCTTAACAAATTTATGCCCCAATCCCACAAACTGCTAAACATGTGCTTAACTTTATGCACCATAGGCTTGTACCAAGCATAGCTCAGGTACAGTGAAGAGGCATGATGCTGAGGGAGCTGCTCATAGTTCCCTGGTTCTGGTGCCTGGCTCACGTGCAAGTTGGGGCCAGCCTTAACTTACTCCACTGACATGAGGTTCCTTAGGCCTAGTCTACACTAGAAATTTGTACTGCTTTAACTATACCAGTATACTTACAGTGGCATGATCCCACTAGTGTGGACACAGTTATATCAGTATAAAGGTGCTCTTCACCAATATAACTGCATCTATACTAGTGCATGTATCAGTGTAGTATATCGATTAAAAAAATCACAGTAGACCAGGCTTAAGCAACCTTTTGCCAGTGGAATATTGGACACAGTGGAGCCTCACTTCACCATCGCTGGCCTGTCCCTTGCAGGACTCTAACATACCCCTTCTTGCTGTTACAGACGCTCCCCGGGTTACGCAAACCCGCACTTACAGAAAAAGTTCCACAAGTGGGGTTTTTTTGTTTTTTTCTATAATTGTCGGGTATACGTCCCCGACTTACGCAAAATTCGATTTACGCAAGGTGTTCCGGAATGGAACGCTTGCATAAGTCGGGGAGCGTCTGTATTCCAAATGGGGGGAAGGGTTCTAGTGTTCCACTGCTTCCACCTCTTTAAGATGGTGGAGATTCTCCTTACATGGGGGATAGTCTCTGGTGACCATCTCAGTTTCCTTTAAGCGGCATGAAATTAGCTTGGTGACCAGGGAATCTGCCCCTTTTAGTAGTCCCCTAGTGGGACTACTCAGTGCATAAAATTGAACATGTGTATAAGTCTTCGGAGGGTTGGGGCCATAGTTTTCACAGTTAAAATCACACATGAAATGCAATAATATTAAAGTCTGCAGCATTGCACATCCACATCCTTTATGTTTGTTATACATTTAACAACATGGGTGAAATCTTGGCTCCATTGAAGACAACAGGAATTTTGTATATGACTTCAGTGAAGCCAAGATTTCAGCTGTAGGCCCCAGTCCCACCCTTAAATTTGCTAGCACAGACTCCAGTGCCTGTGCAGAGCCCCGTTGACTCCTATAGGATGTAATGGCAGAATGGAGTAATGTCCAGTAACCTACTAAATGACGCATTTATTAAGGAAAACAAGAATAGAATATACATATGGGTAATGTAGCAAAGTTAATAGTTTAGGAACCTCACCTCTTTCATTTCTTGACTTTTGGTGACTTTAGCACTTTTTTTTGGATTTTTATATATTTTCTTTTTTAGAAGATAGAGAGTCCCACATAATATACTACTTGAAGTTTTATTAATGTGTAGTCCTTTAACAGTGCTGTTAATACTCATTCACTTCAAAGAATACAGCCTTAAAAGTGAAACTATTCCTCTACCTCCTAAAAGTTAACCAGGGATTATCCTGGGGATTCACTTTCCATTTGTTAAAAGAATTAGAGATGGTTTAGGAACAACTTCTCAACTAAGAGAGAAGGTCCAGGAGGTGCTCTGGACCTGCTCTCTAATTGCCTATTTCAAATTTTCCAGTCTTTGGCCTAATACATTTTGGGACATAACTAGAATCTATTTCATATCTGTTCCAGAATCCTTTGCACAGTTTTGAGTTGTCCAAAAATATCTCTTTCTCTCTCCCCAAAATATTTAAATTCATTGTACTATATAGCCAAAGTACGTATTTATGTTATGTTGATAGTTTAAAAAATATCCAAGTCTACATTTTTATTGCAGATATCATGAATTGTGCATTCCCCACTGTTATGTATTCAATAAGCCTACCTACTGCAGCTGTTAATATTTGGAAGGTTATCTGACTACAGAAGCACCAAAAACATAATTTCTGTTGTAAGTGAAGGCTTTGGGTCTGTAGAAATTTTTGCAAAGCCACAGGTAACAGCTTGGGCACAATCCCTAAGTTGACAACTTCTGATCTGTTTTGTGAAACAGTCGAAGTCATTAATAAATATTGTTTTTGACCTAGAATAGCCACTCTAAACTGTCCACAAAAACTTGTGCAGAAGAAATCCTTGACAGCACAGCCAAGCACCATGGCAAGGCTGGACTTGGTTTCTGATGCTCTCTGTTTCAGAACTTTTTGCTTTGGTTATTTTGTTTCTGATTATGCATAAATCTACCTAATTTTTTTTCTAATTTGTTTGTTTGTTTATGTTTAGGGCTGATTACTGGAAATCACAGCCAAAGAAATTCTGTGGTTACTGCAAGTGCTGGATAGCAGACAACAAGCCTGTATGTTGGTCTAGTTCGTGTAATATTACTGATTCTGAAGTACTAGAATTTGAATTATATGCTTTTAAAATATTTTTTTAGTATTGTTTACTGACATGTAAACTAATGTTTACCTAGTGTTTGTTTATTTTAAATATGCTTTTGTAAGCCATGTTAGCTATAAAACTAGGGGGAAAAAGACTTGCAAATTAAGACCTGGATCCTGCATTAAGAATCTCCTGTACTCCATGGACCTCAATCCAAGACTGGAGCCCTAGGGCTTGATCCTACATTCCTTATTCATGTGTAAAAGGTCTGGAGAATCAAGTTCCATTTTCTCAGGCTCCATAATTTGAATTTTGCTCCACCTTGAAGCAAGGTTGGCCATTTCCTGGGAAAAACTAGCCTGGACAAGGCACTGGTAAATACCGGTGTAAACCCAGTTTAACTGGGAAAAATAAAATTATTCTTAGAATATACTAATGAAAATTACTGAAAAATATTTACCAATATGCTAATAGTTTTGCAGTATATATAATATGTATATAATACTGAAAACTGAAATATGAGTCATGACATGTATGATTTCCTTGAGAAAATACTGAAAATGTATACAGACATTCCAAAGTTCAGTATTATATTATATATATTAGTATTACCCCTACTGCAGTTTTACTTTTTATTTGTATAACCCTAAATTAATCTCCAAATCTACTTCCTTATTGAATTTGATAATTTGAATGTGTAACTAAAATGAAGTGTGATGTGGTGTGCCTCAATGAAACAGTTTTTAAAACAGAAAAGGTCTTGAACTGGGACTAACTAGTTTTTCCTGGTGCAGTAAAAACCATGATTTTACCTAGTAAAAACCACCCAGGTAAATACCATGCACATCATTGTCTTGAAGCTTTGCCTCTGTGCAGATCTTCTAAAGTCTACAGGACCTGTTGTGGACCTTAGAATGTCAACAGAATCCACAAGAGCATAGTAGTGTTGCCTCCCTCCTGCAGTCCTTCTAAAGTTTGTGCTCTAAGCACTTAAGACCAAATTATCACTTTGAGCATGCACCATTTGCCATGTTGGTATGCCAGGCCTCCAGAAGTACTTTTGAGCCTTGTTTGTCAGCAAGTACACTAGCACCTGGATTAGGACGTGATTCCTACAACCCCAAGAGCTCCTAAACTCCCCACGGCTTTCGCACCACACCTCCCTCAGTGCTCCTGCAGGACTCCTAAGCTCTTCAGGCTTCTGTTTCCCCTATTCTATCTGGCAGCCTCTTTGGTTTAGAGGCTCTCCAATTGTCTTCCTAAATTATCCGCATCCTACTCCCAGTCCGCCTGATCTCCTAGGTTACATACCTTGATTTCTGCTCCCAATCTCAGATTTGCTTAACTACAGAGTTTTTAAAGACCTCAAGAGCTCGGTGGATCTTAATATGATCTTCATGAGTCCCATAAGTTCCTATTGATCCACTAAGGTCTATGGCAGGGGTCAGCAACCTCTGGCACGTGGCTCGCCAGGGTAAGCACCTGGGCAGTCCGGGCCAGTTTGTTTACCTGCCGTGTCGGCAGGTTCGGCCGATCGTGGCTCCCACTGGCCGCGCTTCGCCTTCCCAGGCCAATGGGTACGGCGGGAAGCCGTGGCCAGCACATCCCTCGGCCCGCGCCACTTCCTGCAGCCCCCATTGGCCTGGGACGGTGAACCGCGGCCAGTGGGAGCCGCAATCGGCCGAACCTGCTGCATCGGCAGGTAAACAAACTGGCCCGGCCCACCAGGGTGCTTACCCTGGCAAGCCGCGTGCCAGAGGTTGCCGACCCCTGGTCTATGGTAAGTCTTATAGACTTGGAAGGTAAAGGGGAGTGGAAATTGAGATATGAATCCTGGGGGCATAGAAGGGAGCTAGAGAACCGTGGGCCATGCAAAACTCCCAAACCAAACAGGGGTCCCTGCTCTTTAATTTGTTTAATATTTTTTTTTTAATTAAAACCCCATACAAACCATCTGATGTCACTGAGACCCAGTCAATATAAAACTTCACCATGCCATTTTTCAGAATATAACTGCACTTCCATTCTTTCTACTGCTGGGTTTCTTTTATGTTTAAACTTTACTTTGTATTTCCTAAGTTTCTAATAGGTTGGATTTTTTCATAACAATTTTTACCTACGTTGGGTACATTCAGTCTTAACTCCAGCTTAACTAAGTTTTTCTTCTTGTCTGTGTATATATTTGTAGTTTACCAAAGGAAATTAATTTCCTGCAAATTATTTTTTATTGTATTTTAATTTACTTTTTTTCTCTTTAAGAGCATTGAATTTCATGAAAGGGGAAAGAACCATAAGGAAAATGTGGCAAAGAAAATTAGTGAGGTAAATTGAATTTTTCCTTTTTTCTCTAAACATTTAATTTTTTATCTCTTTTATTTATGACTTTGGTCTATTTCTTCTCCCCTCCCCCTCCTTTTTTTTAAATTGTAGATTAAAAAGAAAAGTATGGAAAAGGCAAAAGAAGAAGAAAAAATGTCAAAGGAATTCGCAGCAATGGAGGAAGCTGCACTGAAAGCATATCAAGAGGATCTGAAAAGGCTTGGAGTTAAGTCAGGTAGTTCCTGTAGCTGCCAGAAAAGGCTTAAAGGCAGCAATAGAGATAATATTGAACAGGATTTTCTTTTGTATTAGTTTTGCAGAAACTCCAGAATTGTGTTTACATTGGCAAAAATGGGACATATAATTTGCCACAGTGTTAGCAATAGTAGAAGCTGTGAAGTTGTGTAAGCAGGGTTTTTACCGTCATGTCTTCTAACCCTCAGGACACTTCAGGTGGTAGAAAAAGTGCCTAAGCACTACTACTGTACAGTTTCTATTATTACAGTTACTGGTGGAGCTGCACCAGTCATTAATTATGGTGGAGCTGCACCAGTCCCAATTTTCCCAATGGAGACAAGTGCATAGCTAATAGTTGAGTTTGCATCCATCACTTAACTGAGTCCTTTTTTCTTCTTTTAATCTCCTCCCACTTTAAAGTTGAGCAGGTGCTTTTGTTCTGTTACCATGAGAGTAAACCACCATTTTTTTAATTAGTCCTGTTAGTTTGAACCCTCCATGGAGACTGTCTCCTCCATAACTCTTCTGGTTTCTAGCTTCTGTTGACTCCATGCTCAATAGCCCTGAGGTAATCCTTGAATTTAGATTTTTCAGCTTGTTTCTCCTGGTGATTCTCAGACTGATTCATAATAGTATAGTGTTATACTAGAAAAGCTTTTGATATCTCGGCTCTCTGTGAGCTGAGGGGTGAAAACATTATCTACTATCATGAAAGAAGAAACTACTTTGGACTAAGTTGATATTTGCTGTTGCCTGTATGAGGAATGCCCAATAAGTAAATTCTGATTATAACTCTGAAAAATATGGGTGTTATTTTCTTTAAGATTCTATAGGTCCCAGTTCAACACAAAGTAAACAGGAGGAAAAGAAAGAAAAGAAGGAAAAGAAAAAAAGAGAAAAGACACCTCAGAAGCGCCATCAGATGAAACAAAGGAATGGGTGCAAGGACTTTCCCCTGAGGGTTACATGTATTACTACAATACTGTAACCGGAGGTAAATAATGGCAAGGAACAAATATTGATCTAATCATTCCCTCTGAACAAAGGAGGGCGCCATACACTTTGTTAGCCTTCCACTATCTGTGTTGGTAGGTTGATTATTAGTGTGTGGACAATTATATATTATAAATTCATGACTTTTATAATTATGTGAGAGTGCCCAGAGCTTAACATTTTTATTAATCAGTAAATAACAGGAGAACTCATGGACGTTCCTAGAAGTTCTTGACACCCTACAAATATTATATTTAAATGCACAGAAGGGCAATCCCCTCTCCACCCCCACCCAAAAAAGGGCAATCAGAATCCACTTTATCAGGGCTCAGGTATAAAATGGGTAATTATTTGAGTACCAATAGTATCTCAAGGTAAATGAGATAATGAGATTAGACTATGATTACTGGGTTTCTTGTTTACCTGCACAGGATTAAACTGGTCACCTTATTTGGGGTCAGGAACACAGTGTGTTGATAGGGCCTTAATGAATGTGTTTGCTGTGGAGCACTGAAGGGGTCCTATATTATGATTAGATGGGTAATCTACACACGGTTTCTCTTAGGCACTGACATTGGTGTAATTCTCAGTCCTTCCTAACTTCCAAACCGTAAAAGTCTTCTGTTTCTCAGTCTCTCCTGGCTGATTGTCCTATAAGAAGATATTTTAAATGTACTATAACTATATATCAACTATAATGCAGTAGAAATTTACAAGTCATAGTAGGACAGATTGTCATATCCTTACTCCACATTTAGTCTCAGTTACTTCAGTGGGACTACTCTTGGGTTACTGTTCAGTGGAGTAAGGGGATCACAATCTGACCCAGTGTGATTTCTTTTTAGATGAGTAATACATATATTAGTCATGCATGGGTGAGCATACACAACTGCAATATGTTCTAGTCAACTATTTGTCATAATGGTTGATAGTAAAAATTGAAATGGTTTTATAAATGATAAATTAAATATGTTTCTGTTTAAAGAATCACAGTGGGAGAAACCTGAAGGATTTCGAGACAACTCTCGAAACTCACAAATGGTAATCAAATGTTATTTGTACTACTTCTTTGTTCTTATGGCTTTATTTACAAAACTTTTTGCTGCCTAATTGACTTATCTCTCATTCATGTATTATTCATAATATTGAATTCAACAACCTACATTTTGTGGATCTTAGAAAAATATATTGTAGCTTGAATACATAGAGCTGTGAAACCTACAGTTAAGGTTAAAACTCAGCTTTCATTACCAACTCCTGTTTTCAGTTGCAGATAACTTTTTTAAAAATATTCTTTTGGAGTCAAACTTTTGATGCTGTGTTTCAGCCAAAAAAGCTGAATCTTTCTGTAAAAAATCAAGCAAATCCTGTTCTGCCTTTTGCAAATTAGTCAACACAGGAAAAAAATTATATGTTCACATTTTAAAATAATTCATAAGATTCTTTTGCTTGGAAATGGCTAATGTTTTAAACTTTTTACATGTGGCTAGTTCTCCTTTAGGAAACATTATTTGTACGGTATACATGCAGTGTGTGTGTGTGTGTGTGTGTGTGTACACGCACCCAAAAACTATGTTAAAAGAATGTTAATGTTGCAAAGTCAAGCACTCAAAAGTTAAGAAATGTCAGAATTAAGTTTGCCTGAGCAATTCCACCTATAAGCAATTAAAAATTTGGCTTGTTTCTTTTATGCAGATTAAATAACTTCTATTCGTTTGTTGAAACATTAATTGCAGTAAATCCTATGCAACTATGTAGTGCAGTATTTGTGGAACTCCATAGTGCTGCATATATGTGTTTCTTCCAGCTATATAGTTGCACAGTTGTGTTTTTAATTCTGCTCCCTGATTTTAGAGCAGAGAAGTTAAGCATATGCTTAACTTCTCTGCTGGATCATGCCCAGAATGCATCGCATAGCTTTAATAGATCATGCTATAATAGAAAGGACCAAGTTACGCCACAGGCTATTTTTTGTTGTCTGCTTTCTAGTTATGCACAGCAATTTTTCTTTTGTTTCCTCTTATGTAAACTAATGCACTGTAAAACCACAAGAATAAAACCTTGAGGAAACGTGTTCATAAGGGGCTGTTTTTCTTCTCTGAATCAACTGATTTCATTTCACCAGCATATATACGAAGATTTCTATATAGCAGGGGTCGGCAACCTTCGGCACTTGGCCCATCAGGGTAATCCGCTGGCGGGCCACGAGGGGGACCGTGACTGCAGACGGTTAACGTAAACAAAATGTC